TTACAGTGCACTACAGATGACTGATAGAGGGCTTCGTCACATGATGCAACAACAGTCACCTGAAGCTCCGTATCAGCAAACCAGTGAGCTTTTTGTGAACTACCACAGCAGACAATGCTTCAAATATGGATGTTGCTGCAAAGAAGATACAAATTCTAAAACGTGGATGCCTCACACTCATCTTCAACCCAGCAACATGAAAGATCTCTACAGTCATCACAGTTTGACACCAATTCAGTTTCCAACCAAATGTCTCCCCTTCTGTTCCTGAATTGTAACGATGAATAATGGCCACAAAAGTGTTTTTACAGAATATTATGTCACAGTGAAGAATGAAATGTCCATTGTTTAATCCAATTAGACAATTATGTTAAATTTTGTGATAATTACCATATGAATTCTTGAATTAAGGCCAAAAATGTGTTTTGTGAGGTCACAGTTAAACTTGACAACCCAAATCTATTGATCTATTGTTGAGTCCAAGTGGATGTTTGTGTCCAATTTGAGGGAATTACCTTTGTCTTCTTCTAATTATCAGGCTCCTATTCAGCAGTTTTTTGCTACATTCCTTGTTTAGACATTCAAACCTGGGGTAATAAAAATGTTGCTTTCCTCTCATACAAAATACAAAACCCCCAGTCTACAACCTTAAACATATGTCCAGGAGTCATAATGTCAAGCATTTCTTGCCACTGCCATTATTACACAGCAGACTAAACTGACGTTTACATAAAATCATCCATTTGTTTCACAAATAAATCTTAACCCTATGTCCATTACAAGCTTTTTTCAGTATGTTCACCCAGATCTCACACTCCTTATCAGTGGATGGAGTTTGCTCAGCACAAACAGAACTAGAATTACCACTGTGAACCAGTCAAGTTGCAGTTACTGTTTACATCCATGTCTGTCCAGGCTGATGTAGCCATGACAACAGACAATGCTTCAAAGAGGATGATGCTACAAGGAAGTTACATATTCTAAAAACACTGTCGCCTGCACAAGGCATATAAGCTCCACCTGTTGATGAGGACCATGAGATGTGGCTGAAAGCTCTGAAAAAAAAAAGCTTTAAGTTAAGGGGGTTTTTTTTGGTCAAACTACTGTCTCCAGGATCAAGATGGACTTTGATGCTTAATCTGTTTTGTGTATGCTGCTAGTCAGTGATGTAGTGGTAGTTGATGAGGTGGATGTACTACTAGGTAGATGGGTAGGTTACCAAGGAGAGAGTGGGTCTATTCTCCTATATATTCCAATGGCTTTTGGGCTGATAGGTGGGTTTACTTAAAATGGCCAGAAGAAGAGGTGGATATACCCTGTATACCTGCATATACCCTCCGCTAACTGGCCAGCAGTCGCTCCTCCCTACCTCCATCTCCCATCGACAGTCTTTTCACAACAAGAGCTGGGTACGGCAGCTCACACTCTGTTGAGTTCCCCACATCCCCTGAGCAGAAGTTGAGGTTGTAGGAGACAGTGCTGTGGTTTGGGGTGAAGGTACGACACATAGGCGGGCTCCTGCTCGACCTTTCGCTCTCTGGCTGCACTGACTGGGGTCCTCGTGTGAACGTAAAGTAAGGAGAGTCTTTGGCCTGGGCTGCAGGCGTCGAACAATACCTCTGCCATGTCTTAATATGACTTAAATCACTCCCATCAGCACCTATCCTCTCACCCATAGTGCTAGTGATAGTGTATGTAATATTAGTTGGTGTGGAGGGGGTGCACACTTGGGTGGAAGGGGTGGACAGAGGGACAGAGTGACCCAGGCTGCTCCTCTGGGAAGCTGCAGAGCTCGGCATGCCCATCCCTCTCCCCTTCCCCCTCTCCCCTTCGTCTCTATGGAGGGTCCCTTTCTTCAGGATGGTTTCCAGGTTGTGTCTGAGGCCGCTCTGCGGGCTGTCGTAGTTGCTGGAGGAGAGTTTGGGAATTCTGAAAGGTGAATTGGGCTCTCGGTCACCACGCCACTGAATGGTCTGCAGTTTGCGGCAGATGCTGTCCACGGGATTGTGGCGACGATTCGACTGGGGCGTGTAATAGTCCATGCTGCTGATGGCAGGGCTGCAGTGCTGGCTTCCTGGCTAGAGGAGAGGCTGAAGTCTGAGGAGAGAGAAGCAAAAATTGTGCAGTTTAATTGCATGCAGAGTTCATAAAATAGAGACAAAGGGACAGAGAAATATTAAAAAAAAAAAACAGAGCCATCGATATAATAGTTGAAATGACGTCTGCTACTTTAATGTTTTTATTTGCACGTTCTAAATAATGAGAATGACCTGTCCCCTATTTCCCCCCCAAAATCTACACCTATGCATAACACCATAATGTCCTGGATAACTGGCACATTCAGCCTATATCAGACTGGTTCCCTGATTTGATAACTCCAGGGAGAGAGGCAGAAAATGAGTAGGTTTAGCTGCAGTGTGAAAACCCAATAAAGACAAGGCAAACAGAGAATAATTGGTAATATTGGACCAATATAAAGTAGCCTGATATAAAAAAATGACAGCTATGGGGTGATACAAGCCACCCAATGCCAAATAGTTATTAGTTCTAGCATTCTGCAACTATCATAGAAGGGGTTCATGTGGTGAGTACTATAAAACAAGCAGTAGGCAATAAAAGACTAAACAAAGGAAAAAGATGGAGAGGAAAGAAAACAGGGATAGATGGGATGATCAAATGATAACCTCCCTCAACTACAGACACAGCTTAGTTAATAAAGGGACCACACACTAAAGTCAGGGTGTCTACAGGTGTCTAACCAAGTTAAATTCAATACTTTTTAGGACCACATTATATGAAATGTAAGACTAAACCTGCAATGGAAATACACATTATAGACGTGTGTGTGACACTGATGTCAGTTCAAAATGAACAATAAGGAAAACTGACAATAAGTTTAAGTTAATTGTGTTTAATGTAAAAGGAAACAAAATCACATCGCTGTCATTAATGCTATTTATTACTGCAATCCTTCGGTCTGTCCAATAATTGTAATTGGATCTGTCAGGCTGCAGAAATTTTTGTGGTAATGCGACTGAAAATATTTAAGCCCCATTGAATCTAAATTTAAAGCAATGTAAGACCTTTTAAGGCCTTATATTAAGATAATTTAAGACAGTTAAAGACATTTTAAGACGTTTTAAGGACCTGTAGATGCCCTGTAAAGTATGATAAGAGTCCAAAGATGTTACTCATCATGCAAACCAATCCACAAGGTTTTGGGTTATCAATCCTACCTCCTCAATATAAATAGAGCAAAGCAAATAAATAGAAATTCACCATATTAGGATTAACTCCTTGAGATGCATCATCTCATTTTCAAGGGGGGTCCCAAACAAACATTATTTTCGTGGTGATGTGACCGCAAATATTTAAGAATATTTAAGACACATCGAATCTGAATTTAAGACATTTTCAGACGTTTTAAGGACCTGAAGACACCATGTAAGATATAATCCAAATTTATGCAAACTAGTCCACAAGGTTTTGTACTACATTCTCAATGTGACAGAAGATTAAAGCAAATAAAAAGAAATTTATCATATTAGGATAAACCCCTTGAGATGCATTATCTCGTCAAGGGTGTCCTAAATTGACATTCACAAAACAAATGGAGACAGAACAGTACAAGACACAGTGTAATATGACACAATAAAACAACAATTCAACAAATGAACTAAACAGAAAAAGAAAAAATGAGTATGACCTTGGACTGAACACAATATAAAGAAGGCTTAATCTGTAACAGAGAGATGCAGTCTGTTTTAAGGTGAGACAGAGAAAGGATATTCAATGGTAACTTAATCCAATCAGAGGTACCTCAACAAAAACTTTGTTGCCAACTTCTTTAGGACACAAAGGGACTATACAGAGAATCTGACCAGAGCCTCTTAATGACTAACGTGATGTTTAAGGAACCAAAAAAATTGTTAAATTAAAGTGAATGCATTTAAAAATAAACTGAAGCCAATGACACTGACGTCTTGTCTCAATAGGGACCATGATGCTTGGACTACAGGTGTGCAAGCGGGCTAATTAATTAAAGTTTGGTGACGAACTTTGAACCCAAAAGCATGTATTTCGATTAATATCTAGTTTTAGCTTAATTAAAAATGATACGGATATCACAATTAATTTCAGCACAGTACATTTTTAGAATAAGCTACTCTTGATATAAAATAATAAGCAAAACACATACATTAAAGGGTTTAGATGCTAAAGGAGTGCAGCTTCGACAGCAACAGGAATAACGTTATTTTAAAAAAAAAAAAAAAAATCGTTAGCGGCTCGAGGGTACATTTATCTCCATACAAACACACACCTAAACACTAAGTCTTTAAAACCCACCTTTTGTGTTAATCTCTCAAATAGCCTCGGGGCTAGCAGGACATTGTCGCCTCGTTAACGCTTGTAAGAGCAAATATCCACGACGAAATGTTTGACCAAGTGTCCGGGCGCACACACACACACAGAGCACGCGCGCAGGTAGTTTGAAGCTGAGCGCTCGAGACAGAAAGAGTTAAAATATCAGTGGGTGTTCACGGCTCTGAAAATGAGACAGCACCCCCTCCCTGCGGCTCGAAGGGGACACAGCACCCAGTTTCATAAACTACAAGACAATTTCTCATTTAAGGTGGGTTATTTTAGGATGAATATAAAAAAAATATTTTTTTTCCTGTGCATAGTCGGACCCCATTTTAAGTGTCTCCACTACAACTAACCGACTCCCTACAACACTCACAGAGAAAGTTCCTCACATTTTAGTAACAGTCTGTAAAATAAAATAAACAAAAGCAGAAAATACATAAAAATTCATTATAATAATGATATCGAGCCATTGATGCACTCAAGTGTCAACATGCCAGAGGTGTTGCAAAATTAATTGGGTTAATTTGCATGTTTGGGTGTCATGACAACGGAGTAATGGGGCTGGTTTCAACCTGAGCAAACAGTAAGCGGTTTAGCAGAGCAGACCTGTAGGTGCACAGGCGGTTTAACTTGCATCACACCAACCTGCCAGTCAGACGTCTCTCCTGCTCTCAAGGTAATTGATCATAGAATACTGACTCCTAGATGACGTGTGTGTGAATATTAGGACTAAATATAGGTTGTGCTTTAATCTAGTTGTAAGTTTGTATTAAAACAGACAATTACTGATGTGTTTCTCACACATGAGACTAGTTAATGCTCCTATCAAGCAGCATTTACTCTCAGCCTAATTCCATATGTAGTTTGTGAAGGCCAGTGTTATTCAAACATTATTTACACCTGCATTTAAAAATATATTTGATACTGGTGGACAATAAAGAGCTGTAGTGATGTCCCACACTGACATCAAAGACCAGAGACAGCAGTTATATAGACTTTAAACAGGAATATGTTTGCAAAATGTTCTTGTGAGAAACATTATGTGAACTCACACACGACTAATATGAAGTGACAATAAGGTTTATTGTTCAGACTTACATAAAACTGGCTCAAGGAGTTGTTTAGTCCTGTTCGTCAGGTTATGCCAATGGTGTAACACCATCCAGATGCAATGTAATGCTGGGGAGTGGTGACTACATGTGATTAAAACACCTATATTTTGCAGCAGCTCGCAGGTTGTCCAACTGCAATTATATTTAGATAGTAATTTAAATTAAATTTAAATTACTTTTTTACCATTTTTTGTATCATAAATGATTAAAACTTTAAGGCTATAAAAGGAAAAATGACTTTATTTTTTATTTTACCACTGCTTCTCTACTGTAATTAAACCCCCTTTGAACACAGTTACTCATTACGCAAGTATATTGCTGTTTATTAAGAAATGGTCAGAGAAGTTGTGACACAGCTATTTTCAAAGTTACCTGGCTAGCTGTGTAATCCTGCTTAGTGCAGTACTCCCACCTGGACTCTGGAGGGCAGGACGTACAAAACCAAAACTGACATTCCTTGTACCTTCCAATGCAATAAGTTCAGTTGAGTGGCATTTTTTTGCTGGCATGTGACTTTTTCTATTATATTTTGTCTATTTTTTTTTTTACAAAGTAGTTTGAGCTACCTTTTCTTAGTAGCTTTAGGTAACCAAACTAGATGTCTCCCTTGGGTAGCTTTGCAGTAGTTAGGTGTGAAGTAACTGGTAGGTTGCAAAGCTTTCAAAGTAGCATCCCTTACACTGGTAATGCTATTTGTTTAGTCATACAGTTTGTTTAGTTGTAAATATGCTTGAGCTCATCTTTGAAAAAAAAAGAGTGTATGCCTACATTTGTATTTATATTGCAATTTCTTCATTTTTTCTTTTCTCTTTCTCTTCAGGAAAGCAGCAACGGTTCCACCATCTCAATGGCTGACAACATTCCAAGCTTTAAGGTACAGGAACAAGTTATGCAAATGTATAGTGGCTGTTTGGCTGTTTGTAGAATGCATGGTATGCTCTAACCTGTTATAGATGTTAATTAAGGCTGCTGCTGCTATGATTTGAAAGCACCTACCCTCAATTGCTGCAGCATCTTGATGATTCCTTGGCTTCCTGACACTTAAAAATCCCCCCTGTAGCTCCTCATAGAAGATAGTCCAGCACTGCTCCTTGTCCTCATGTTGTCATGAGCAGCAGTGAACGGCCTTGAGAGCCACAATCATTCAACTGTGTTTTTACTATGACAAGAAACACATGAAAAACATATCCAATGGATATTCCAGACTATTAATTTGACTCTTCATGTCTCTTTAAACAGAATTGTGTCCGTGTTTTTGCCATTTTTTCAAGGCAAGGACACATCCAGTGTCCACTCCTGTACTCCTCTTCCTCCTACTGCAGCCTGCTCAGCAGAATCCACTTTCCCAGCTCATGCTAAGTAGCTGGAGCTTTGCTTGTTTTCTGACCCTGAATGCGTGAGCAGCAGACAGCAGGCTCAGGTGGAGATTAGAACAGACGTGCAGACGTGAACACCCACACAGACACACCCGCATAAGGATGAGTGTTGACTCTGGTTTGCAGAATTTACGTAAACATGAGAAGACAAACTTTCAAAAAGGAACTTCAAACAATGGAGCTTGTTAATATGAATATGAGTGTTTGGTGTGACACTGACAAAATAATCAGAGACAACAAGTACAGTAGGAAAAAAAACATTACTTTGACCACTTTCACACGGTGTTATACTTTGGTCACCTGCCACTTTCCAGCACTGTAATCTGGGATTATGGTGCACCAGGAGGGAGGGAATAAAGAGCCAGTCTAATCCAAGCTAGTTGGAACAGATAACTGACTGAGTGGCAGACAAGGAAGAGGTGTCTCTTTAAAACAAGGATCACATGTCTCTTGAAAACAAGGATCAGATACAGTAACTCAGTCTTGCAGAACAGCAGGAAAGAACAGCACTTGTTCTCGATAAATATGACACATACTTCCTCAACCTGCTGTTAGTGTCACGAATATAGTATGGGGACACAGAGATTGGACTCAGATTTAAACCACTGAGATGCTATTCTGTATCTAACCATGACCTTTGACCTCTAAATGGAGTAGTTTAGAAAGACAGCTTCAGTGCAGATAAAGTAGCACCCTGTTTTTTGATTACAGTTCTGTCTGTTTGTCGTTGTCTCATTGATGTTACCATGTCACCGCTCTGTTGTCTGCTTTTGGAGCAGTTTGGTCACCGATGGGTGAACTGTGGCTCATGTTACTTGAGGTAATCTTTGGATTAGACTGTCACACTGTCTGTGTTACAGCAACCCCTGCTGGAAAAACACAGATTTGAAAAGAATTGGAATTACAGGCATCAAGTTAAATGGTCTCTTGGTCCTTTGGTTTGTGATATGATTTTGATGATGATAATGATTTTGAAGTTTCAAATGATATATTCTTGCGCCTTACTCCTAAAAAGTCAAGTTTAGATTACTTGTGAGTCAATGAGACTTATGGTCAGCACTCTGCACTTTCAAGCGATTTAGTAAGTCACAAAGAAAAGATGAAGTATACTTGGAGGGTATATTTTTCAAAAAATGTTTTGGGCCCCTCCCGTTAGAGGTGTTCCAGGCATGTCAGGAGGAGCTGGACAGCATTGCTGGGGAGAAGGGCGTCTGAAATACTTTGCTCAGCCTACTGTCCCATTACCCAGCTTCGGATAAGTGATTGAAAATGGATGGATGGATGGATGTTTTGGGCTGAAGCTTATAGTTGGTGACAGATGTCACTCTGGACGTTCAGCACAACGCACACCTAGGGGGGAAAAGGGGGACAGCTTTTTGAGGACCAGCTACCAGGGGGGCATGGAGGATATTCATCCAACAAAATGTTCACCATTTCTCATCAAAACAACAAAAACAAACATTTTGTATATTGCTGCTTCAGTAAAATCTAGCCAGTTTCGTGGAAACCCACCTCTCCTTTTCAGGGGCCCAGCCATTTCTGTGTACGTGCCTGTATAAGTTACATGAACACCTTTTTCTTTAACGTCACTATTTTCTCTTCTGTTCTGTACACAGGCAGCTGACCTTGTTGTTGAGTTGTCCTCGACTCTAAAGCCCAAACCGGATGTGCTTTCCTTCGGTTCCGCCTTCTCTGACCACATGCTGACCATAGAGTGGAGTGAGAGTGAAGGCTGGAAGGCTCCAGTCATCAAGCCCTTTGGAAACCTGTCACTCCACCCAGCCTCTCCGTCACTACATTACGCCATACAGGTACACTAACAAGGAAGAATTTAACTTTAGCCTGACTCTTTGTACCTGTCTGTTGTGGAAAAGGATTTGATATGTCCTACATTGTTTCAAGAGACTGACCTGACTGGTCTGACTGCAGTACAAAGGGTTTAGTCAGGACCAACGTCAAAACACAAAAACTAGTTACAGCAAAGTTAAAGTAAATATGAAGATGAACAAGGTATTAAACCTAGTCTCACATTGCACCAAATGAATAATGGATGTTTAAAGGTCTAGTTTAGGATTTAGTGACATCTAGTGGTGAGGTTGCAGACTGCAACCAATTGAAACATCCCATGCACCAAGTGTGTAGGAGAGCTATAGTGGCTAACACAAAAATGACAATGGTTCAATCAATGGTTCATTTTGTATATCTCCACCAGAATTGTATTCCTGGCAGCATGGAGGGGGTTTTGAAACAGCATTTAGATCTTCATTTTGAGACATAAACCTTTAACGTTTTGTTTTATTGGCCTGTGATTTCCCAAATGTTTCCTCTCCTCTCCTCTCCTCTCCTCATCTCCTCAGCTGTTTGAAGGGCTTAAGGCGTACCGTGGGGTTGACAACAAAGTGCGTCTCTTCAGGCCGATGCTCAACATGAAACGCATGGCCACCTCTGCAAAGAGAGCTTGTCTACCTGTAAGATGTATTTGAGTAATGAATGGATGGATGAATGAAAGGATACGTGACAGTGATGAACAAGGGACTGTTTTTGCCTTCAAATCGTAACCTCAGCAGCAAGTTCGGCTGAACCTTCCACTTCTGATATGTCATTGAAGTGCCATAACTACCCTCTGCTCTCCACCTCTCTCCATCTCCAGGCCTTTGATCAGTAAGAGCTCCTGGAGTGTATCAGACGGCTGGTAGAGATCGACCAGGACTGGGTTCCTAACTTAGAAAGAGCCAGTCTCTACATTAGACCAACATTTATTGGCACTGAGGTAAGGAGGATGGTGAGGTGCTGCAATAATGTGTGGAGATGGACGGATTATCCTTTTTAAATAAATTAAATTTTAAATACATTTCTTTGTGTTTATGTGTTCCCGGTAGCAATGTCTGGGTCTGAAGAAGCCTGCCAATGCCCTTCTGTATGTGATCATGTGTCAAGTGGGCTCTTACTTCGACGGTGAGCCAAAATCAGTGTCCATTTGGGCCGACCCAAAGTATACACGGGCCTGGAGAGGAGGAACTGGAGACTGCAAGATGGGAGGGTGGGTAGGCACATACTGTATGAATACTGTTGCACATACTGTTGAATGCATTCAACTATGGTTGTGTGAGGTGCACAGTGGTGCCTGTAGAATTTTATTCTAGAGGTGATCAGATGGGGCAATAATTTCCTTACTTTCATTGCACAGTATTATAGCAAGTAATTATTACTAAAATTGTTTGTTGCTTTGTTTTTCTGCAGGAACTACGGCTGTTCTCTGTCTGCCCAGTATGAAGCAGTGAGTCATGGTTGTCAGCAGACGCTGTGGCTGTATGGAGAGGACCACCAGATCACTGAGGCAGGCACCATGAATGTCTTCCTGCACTGGATCAATGAGGATGGAGGTTAGTTGCACTATCAGAACCCCACTTGGTTGATCACAGGTTGTCAAAGGGGTTGTTGGTTTACCTTCAGTCAGCAACACAGATGCAAGCAATGTGCTTTGGATACAAAATGTTGTACAAATTTAACCTCTACTGGCAGAACAATGCCACTACAACATAACTGCATACAGCATCTCCAGGAAACCAGCTTGCCCTAAAATATTTTAGGTTTTGTTTTGTGCTATGTAATAATTCATTGTTTCTCAGAGGAGGAACTTGCAACTCCACCTCTGGACGGCATCATCCTCCCAGGTGTAACCCGACAGAGCATCCTGGAACTGACCAGGAAATGGGTGAGAAAGACATAACCATAAAGGTCAACATGCATGGATAAATATTCCAGTTTCACATTTCATCTGGTCTCTCCGCTCTCTTCTGTGTCCAGGGTGAGATTAAGGTGACAGAGCGCTACCTGACCATGAGCCAGCTGTGCTCTGCTCTGAAGCAGCAGCGGGTCAAAGAGATGTTTGGCTCTGGTACTGCCTCCATGGTCTGTCCCATAGGACACATCGTTTACCAGGGAGAGGTAAGAGACAGCAGCCTGTATTTAATACTGTCTGATTTTCTGATTGTATATTAAAAGCCTTCTTAGTGAATCACAGTGTGCTCTGCTTGGGATCTGTCACTCACTGTGTCCTGACAATAACAAGGAGACCATGTGGCAGAACTGGAAAATGTTTTTCTCAAACATTTAATTATTTTTCATGTGATCTTGAGATGAGCACAGCCATGGATATTAATTAAAATCATCTACAGATTGTACACTATAGCTTATATTATATGTATATTATTATGCTTTAAAAGGAATAGTTCAACATTTTGTAAAGTGCTTTTTTTCCACTTTTTGTAGAGTAAGATGAGATACCAAACTCAGAAAGGGAATCTCCAATATATATAGGCTTCCACATATTGAGGTTGGACAGGAGTGTGTGTACAACTGATTTAATGGGACACAAAAATGTAATGATGTAATTGCTGGAAAACAGTGTATTACTACAGCTTTCACTATCAATGATGCACAGAGCAGCCATCTTAGAATTTGAGGTCAGGGTTGTTGAGGCTAGATACTACAGACGAACACAGTATGTAGTACATACAACCAGTCAGTGACAACTAGGGGTGGGGATGTCCAGGCACGTCAAAATTTGATTAGATTACATTTCAGAGGGCAGCAATTCAATTAGAAAGCGACTATCGATGCATCTCAATGCTTCAACATTCTTTATTTCTACACATGTGCAGCCTCAAAGCACGAACAACGAGGCTAAAGTGTAGCTTCTTCCCAGAGGCTGTGAGGTTTATGAACTCTTTGGCTTAAGTCTGTCCTCTGCACTTACACCGCTGTGACTGCTTGCAGCTGTTGATGCACTATTACGCACTTTAACATGCTGCTTGGTTTTATGACTATGTGTTGTATTTAACATAGGCTTTTAGGTTATTTCATTATTTATTATTAGTCTATCTTAATATTATTTATTTTGTACGCTGCTGGACTTGACCTTGACCGTGACCTTTTTTTTATTAACTGTGTGACTTCTTGCTACTTTTAAAACATAGTGTACTGTATTTGTAATGACCCATATCTGAATAAAAAGATGAAAGTTCCTGCATTCAACAAGACTCTTGTCCAGGTCTCTTTTCCATTCAACCTTTGTGCCAAAATGCTTCCATACTATAACTTTTAAAACAGGGAGTGCCAGTTGGATTGTATCCATCTGTGTTTTCTCACGCTAATCCACTCTGGGCTATTTATGCTGCCGTAGTGTCCAGTATTTTCTAAAATATACTAAAATAGTATGAAATTACTATGTACTATTGAATAATAAATGGCCCGCAGCTTATTTATTTTAAAATGTCAGCTGCATTAATTGATGAATTAATTCATTTGAAAGTACCTGTATGAGAATAACAAAATGAGGGAGATGTGGAGTGCTTCGCTGTGTTGTTTTCTTCACCACAGAGCTGGTTTTAATTGTTTTACGCTGCAGCATTTTTGGCCAGCTGGTCACATATGTTTATGTTATTGCTAATCGCTGCTGTATCTGGGTGATGGCATAGAAAATATTCAGAATATACTTCACAGTTGTCTAGCAAACTGTCTGGGTGCTGAGCCACTCTCATGGTTGAGTTCCGCCTCTTTTATTCTGTCACCATCAAATTAGTAACAAATATTTAGGTAATTGATAATTGATGTTTGTGAATCAATGCTAAATCGTCCACATCCGCATCGTGATGCATCTAAGAATCCATTATTTCCCCCACCCCTACTGGTGACGAGACTTCAGGAAGTAACTGCCCCTGGCCAGGAAATAATCTAGCACAAAAACACAATTAGACTATTAGCACTTTGGTTGTTGTCAGAGTAAACAAAGGTAACACGCTAATTTGCTAAGAGGTGCTGGCAGGCAGACTTATTTACTTTGGGACAGAACCAGGCTACCTGTTTGCCCTTGACTTCCATCTCAATGCTAAGCTAAGCTAACCAGCTGCTTAGTTGGACTTTGTGTCTTGAGCCTTTTATTTTAGTTATACTGTAAAAAAGTTTGCTACCTTTATTACATTACATTTTTCATATGAAAGAAGTGTATTTTAATACAAAGTAGTAATATGTTAGAAGCTCAGTACTTTAAAGACTGAGGCTCTGGGTCTCTTGTGACCATGTGGGCAGTTTCATCTTTGCATGGTTGTCAGAACCCTCTGGCTTTTTGTGTTAATATCATAATATCTTAACTTAATAATCTCAGTGTTCTTGTGATTTATATAAAGTAGCAAGTCAAGTCATGAAACCGATTAAAATATTAATGTTGTTTGTTTCTGTGTGGTTTAGGACTTGCATCTCCCCTGTCAGGATAAAGACTCACTGCTGACCTCTCGGATAGCAAAGGAACTCACAGATATACAGGTTGGTGGATGCACAGACGCACATATACTGTACAGACACACACGTACGTCCCACAGATGTCTCCCCGAGCTCAGTAACAGCTGGTTGAACATCTGTGTTCTTTACACTCCTGTCACCCTCAGGACTCTATTCTCATGCAGTAATAGGTTACTTTAAATTAAGCGTTCAGTGATGTGATGTGTAGGAGAAAAGGAAGGAAGAACAGCCCGCTACAAAACAAAAGAAACATGAGTGGCAGTAATTTTGGTGCTGAATGACAATGCCTGTCACATGTCTGCCTCGTTAGCGCTCGCTAACCAACAATAAAGAGGCCTCACTGAAAAAGACAAATGAATACAACTGTTGACTCACTAAATTAAAAATATGGTCGATGAAAGGCGAGATCTAACAAAAACAAATATTCCCCTCATAATTGCATTACTGGATGGTTATCTGAGTGGTTATTATGTAACTCAGTGAGATAAAAGTATTAAGTTGTTTTCCTTTTAACAAACCGCCATTGGTCCTCATTCATTGTACACCCACTGCTTGCATTATCTTGCCTGCGAGTACATAATAAGTGAAATATCTTATTAGGTAATGAGTAATGACTTGGTAATATTGTACATGGCCTACAAACACGGCATCTCTGCAGCCTTTGCAGCGCTACAGGTTTAAACAGATTCATAATGTTCTTTGCTGAGGGCTTAATTTGTGTTAATGAGCATGTTATGTATAGCTGACTTTCTGTTATTGTGCTGTGTAATGAGCCTATTATTAGTAGGGGTATGAGCTCCAGTGTAATCCTTATTATCTCACTTGTACTGAGGAAGGCCCTCATATGATTACCATCACTACACCAAATATTTCTGCTCATTTGAGTCAAGGGTCGCAACAAATAGCAAAATTAACCCCATTCCTATGTGGCGACACACTCAGTACATAACTTGTTCTGTTTATGTCTTCCTGTTTTTAACATCTGCCAGATCTGTAACTTATTATTCTTCATAGGTGCTTATATGACATGAAAAAGCTCTTAAGATCTCATCAGCCACTTGTCAGTCCCCTCACTCCGAACATAAAAGCAGGTGTAAAAAAATCTGGGTGTGCATCTAGTCAGTAACTTGACCCTGGAGCAACATGTAAAGAATGTAGTCCAGTCTTGTTTTTACCAGCTGAGCAACATCTCCAAATGTAGATCACTTCAGTCCTTCAATAACATGGAGTAAATCATACATGGCTCTCGTATCCTCTCACCTTAATTACTGTAATGCCTTGTTCACCTGTCTGAGCGATCGAGTTATACATCAGATCCAAACCGACCAAAATTCAGCAGCTAGACTTGACGCATCACACCTATTTTGGCCTCCCTGCATTAGTTTCTAGTCTCAATGATCTGGCACCAGAGTATATAACTGAGCTCCTCACACTGTACTGTCCAAACAGGCCCCTCAGGTCTGCTTGTCTGGGTCTTCTAACTGTTCCAGAGTCCAGGCTTCTCAGTTCTTGCTCTCGACTTTGGAACAGGCTCCCACTGAGCATCAGATCAGCTGACTCTGTTCACGTCTTTAAATCTTGTCTGAAAACATACTTTTGCAGATTGTCCTTTCCTGATAGTTGAGTTAGAGTGTATGTGTTTGTAAATGTCTGCATGCTTACAGGTATATATGTGTTTAAGTGTGTATATGTTGGTGTAGGCATATGTATAGTATGCATATGCTTATGTTTAATTATAATCACTTTTGTTTTGTATTTTTCTTCACCTTGGAAAGCACTTTGCGCAGCTTGAAAAGTGCTCTACAAATAAAGTTATTGATATTATTATACCTTGTTAACAGACAAAAGATAACTAGACGTTTTCAGCACATTAACAAACAAATCTGTAAAACATTGAATCCTTAAGCTAAACTGAGCGTACTGAATCAACACTGTAGTTGCTCTTTACATTGTAGCCCACACACAATCATGATATAATAACAGTGTTGCAGATTGCTGTTCACTTTTAGCTTTCACATTTAGGCTCACTGCACATTTTCCGGCCATCTTGAAGATTACCCGTTTTTGTCTATCAAGCTTTGGTGAGAAACATAAGCTGTCAGTAGATGCACCTAGACTAACGTGGCAGTTAGCCTCTTAGTTAGCATGCAGGTGGCAATAACATTAGCCATGATTGCTGAAAAAAAAAAGAATACTTTGCAGCTAACCGTTAGTTTTCAGGTGATTTGCCAAGCTCATTGTAGATTTGTGATATATACCAGTTTCCTTTGGAATATCTGGCATTCAACTTTTGGGGCTTATCTTCGCAAATTTTAAAAATATTCCAGACATTTCAATTTTTCAACATATATCTCATGTGTCAAGTGTGGTCAAGCTGGTCCGGTGTCAGTGGTACTGGACTGCTGGTGACTGACGTGAGATGGTAAATAGACCTGCACTTGTATTGCGCCTTTCTAGTCATCTGACCACTCATAGCGCTTTTTACACTACGAGTCACATGGCCAAGGCTACCATACAAGGTACTACCATACACCTGCTAACACACACACACAGCTTCCAATTAGAAGACGATGTGCTCTACCACCTGAGCCACAGCCACCCCAGATAAGGCCGAGTCAGTGTCACAAATCTGTCATGTCTGAGAATAACTAAAAATAATTGATGTTGATGCATTGAAGAAGTACCAATCCAGCATGCATCAACATTAATTATTGCCTATAATGAATGCTGATGCATTGTGTTGAGGTACGTGTAATTTATTTTTTAGACTTTTACTCCACAGCTTCTCAGATGGTTTCATTTCAGTAACTATTTGAGGCCCAAAGAGGCCTACTTATCTACCATTTCAAAAAAGACATTGTCGTATCAGTGATGTTACTCAAGAAAAGGATCTGAATACTTAATACAGTCAGGCCTGAAGAAATGAAGTACATGTTGTTAGTAATTTAAAATTTTTGAACTAAGCTGAACAAAATGATTTGAATCTGTAAAGATATTTGTAATATCTGACTACCAGCGTTTTCACAAATATTCCTGGTGCTGCATTAAAGGTCAGTGTGTCCTTGCTTTGCTTTTTTGAAGACAAGAAGCTGATTACGAATCATAAACTTTGACTGAGTTGAGTTGTACTGGTTGCCCTGCAGGCTCACATGTCCAGATGACACAAGCAAGAAGTGTCCTTCATTTTTTTAATCTTCCTGATCTCCTAAACGTCCTCTAAACACTTTGATTAATAGATTATCTCTTCAACTTGTTGTCTTTTTCTTTGTCTCTCACTATGTTTACTTCTTGTGCCTTATCTGTGTTGTTGTTGTTTTGTCTTTCTGGTCAGGGCGATTAGCATATCTGCCCTCTCCATCATCCAGGCCTTGTGTGCATGCACAGTGTTTGTTATGAATGTGTTAACCACATACACTTTATATCCGATAACATCTTCCTCGGTGCTTCAGAGAGAGACAGAGCCGAAGAGGGAGACAGTTGCCTTCCTAATGGCGGAGTGTGGAGAGTTGGAGATAGGGGCAAGACAAACTCCTGAATTCTCTCATTAAGCTCGCTGTAATTGCACAAACCCAATTATTGCCTCAGCCTTTTGTGATCTTCAAAGCCAAGATGCTGCAAATGAAGCCTCGAACAAGTGGGAGAGGAGGAGGAGGAGGAAGATTTGGTGCGGAGGGGGGTAGAATGGGCGGCAGCAGAGCTTAATGAACAATAAAATCGACAAAACGCTGGAAAACGCCGCGCTCCTTCCGCAGCGCTGTTAAATCTGTTGACATTTCATTTGGAGGGAAGCAGTGCAGTGTTATCCCCCCACACACACTCCTCCTCCCGCCCCTCTTGAAGACAACATTGTGCAACAAACAAACGAGTGGTCTGAGGCAGCAGATGAAAGATGGGTTTACTAAGTCGCCCTGCTGTTCCTCTTTCAAGTTAATTAGAAATCACATTCTTTTGTTTCCCCTTCGCAGGCGTTTATTTACTTTCTCACTTCGACCATTAGAACAAATTTGCAACATGAGACACAAATAATTGGATTTGTCTCTGCGGCTGTCACGGATTGGGGAACATTTTGTTTTGATTTTTATTATAGTTCCTTTGCTCTGTTATGTTGTGTTCTGTCAGTGGCTGAGTTTGCAGATTTGCTTACGGATATTTGATTTCATTTTTTGATTTGTGTTTTGCTCGCAATTAAGCAGCGACGGGCGAGAGAAGTTTGGTGCTTAGCGACATGAATTTTTTGTTTTACCGCTCAGGCCCCAGGAAGACTTTCTCGTCACCTTTTCATGACCTTTGTTCTCTTACAGTATGGACGCACGCCCAGCGACTGGACCATCCTGATGGAGCAGCAGTAAAGAAGCCTGTATATGAACAAGGAGGACATACAGTTATGCAACAACCAAAGACTACTGTACATGTACATTAATCAGACAACTATGTTTGTGCAATATTTGTTGTCTCACTGCAATATGCTGGCTCTGCGGCAAGTGTGTCGTACCACTTTACCTCCTTTTGAGCTTAAATTAATGACAAACACACAACTGTCCAAAATAATTAACAAAAGTAGGCTAATGTCTCATGCAATACTGCACAATAGCTTACAGTAACGCAGCCACCACCACCAACATCCAGCATTACAGCTGTGGCTGTGATCAAACTTGAAAAGAGAAGTATGAGTTTTTAGAGTTACAGAGAATTTCATATCACTTGTGTAAGAGTTACAAAGCATCTACAAGAGGACCATAAGTAATTAACCTTCATATGGTTATGGCATGAAAACAATTAAGAATCGTGCTGGCTCAAAGTTTCAGACAGTTTTCCTGAGTGCTCCATTTTTTAATCATTTCAGAGCTCATGCTAATGTCTCAAAGTTTTACACATTTGTCATGTTAATAGAAACTTTTTAAACACATAAAATTAAACTAGTGTGATGGGAAACCTGAAGTAACACACAGAAGTTTCTTTACTACTTCATGGAACTCATTATTAAGTCAGTAGTACTGGACAAATAGTATTCATCAGTCATTCATTGAAAGAATATACTTTGTGAGATGGCCCAAAATGTGTGTGAATGTCTTACTGTAAATAATGCACAAGAAAAGTTTAGCCCACCATTGCATATTTGCGCTCATTTAAAAGGGACCTTCCCTTTGACTACTGTAAGTTTTATGCTGATTACTGTATGATGCATTTTGCTCTGGAGGTAAAATATTATGTTAATGTTCGTCAATAAATAATCATTTTTACCCAGCATAGGGGATTTCTGGTTGTTCTTATGTACTATTCATACCTACAAAAATAAAAGTACCAGAATACATGTATAACATGTAATCATTCATCCATTTTCACCGCTTATCTGGGGCCGGGTCATGGGGGCAGCAGGCCGAGCAAAGCACCCCAGACATCTCTCTCCCCAGCAATGCTTTCCAGCTCCTCCTGGGGGGCCCGAGGCATTCTCAGGCCAGATGAGACATTCTATCCCTCCAGCGTGTTCTGGGTCTGCCCCGGGGCCTCATACCAGTTAGGTGTGCCTGAAACACCTCCAACGGGAGGGCACCTCAGCTGCTTGTATCTGCGATCTCATTCTTTCGGTCACTACCCAGAGCTCATGACCATAGGTGAGTGCTGGGACATAGATGGACCAAAGGCCACACCAGACTGCCGATCCATCTCACGCACCATTCTACCCTCACTCTTAAACAAGACCCTGAGATACTTGAACTCCCTCGCTTGAGGCACTATGGGGGCATGTAATCATGAGCCAGTAATTTGTATACAACCCACGTAAATGTGAAGGCTGCAATCATGTGGCCGATGTACTGACGGAGGGAAAGAAGGAAGTACTAAAATACAAAAGTCCATGTAAGACAGCAGTTTGGTGTGATGGATGGGTCAAACATGTTCTTGTGCCATGTGAAACCAAGTGAGTTTTGAGTTATTTTAAGGTATATCGTCATGTTTTGTTAAGTTTGTAACAACGACACTCAACCATGTTTCTTTTCAGAAACCTACCCTACATAACTTTACATTCCTGACCCTAGCCTCCTTTCCTAAACATGACCTACATAACTTTACATCAAATGTTATTTATTGTGTACACTTCAAGACCTAAGTAACAAATTTAGTTCCCTTTTGTTTTGACCTGAACCAGGTGACGATGCTCATCCATGATTCTTTTCCTAAACCAAATCTGCCCTAATTCCTTTTTCCGCTAAGTTATTAGATACCATACGAACCACAGTATGTGCATTTTAGTAAGATATCATACCAACTGTTGTATGAGGATATGTTGGGCACTACCACCCCAGGAACTTTCCCAGGGGACCAAGAACCTTTATAGGAACTACACTTGCATTTGGACAGACAGAACCAGGGACTATGTTTAGTTCCTGTACGATGTCCGTGTCGTACTTTCCAAAGGTTCGGGAACTTTAGGGACGAGCCAGGTTTTGCAGAGAAACTTCCCCAATCCTTAATGATGTTAAGGAGTGAAAGTGTTTTCTTGCCACCCTACACACACACACACACACACACACACACACACACACACACACACTCACGCGAACACACACACACATTCAGAGAACTTGGAACAGAACCAAAGCCATCAGCATAATGGAGTCATAACAGAAAGCCATCAAACCGGAGAGCCCTTGGCTGTTTGGCTCTGCACACACATGTGCTTGTACACACACACACACACACACACACACACACACAAACACACACGCAACATAATTCAGGATACACTGTATTAGTTTAAAAATGAAAACTCAGGAGGTAAACTGTGTCCACTACAAAGTTCATGCCTCATTAACTGAGGACTTGTCTGTATGTCTGCCTCTGTGTGTGTGTGTGTGTGGGTGTGGGTGTGCGTGTGCGCGTGTGTGTGTAAGGGGGTGCCCAGTTGCGTGCTGGATGATTTTTGGCTCTTTGTGAAGACAGCTCATTTTGGCGCCAGCTCTTTCCTTGTGCGCAGTGGCACAGCTGGTGTAGAGCCCAGTGAATGCGCGCGCACACACACACACGCACACACTCACACATACATAAAACACATACTTCAAAATGCCAAACACCATCTAGCCTGCTTTATCTAGGCCACTGGTGAAATTACCACATCAAGTATCTAAATGTCTTATACTCTCCTCTAGATTCTTTCTCTTTCTTTAGACTGTTTGTGTTTCCCTGCAATTAAACGCTCACAACAGTTTGTTTAATTATTATTAGCTATAAATTAAGCTCTTTGCTCCATTATTTGCCCACAGGGATCATTAAAATGACATCTAATCTAATCTAAATGACATCTCGACAGGTGAGGACATGTAGTTTAAGGGCATGTTGGATGTTAGTTCTACTGAAACCGTTCCAGGAGCACTAAAAAGCAAATTTGAGTTGTTATTTCATTGATATGTACTTTCAGTTGACAAGTGTTGATTGGACAAGTTGCTTTTCTTCTCAACAAGCTGACGAGCCTCCGAGGCAATAATTCCTAGCTATATAAAAGTGTTTAAAAGTAAAAGTAACTCTGATGGTGTGAAGTAATGGAGACACTGGCACTGAGCTGATTTAACAGTCAGAGGTTTGACTGTTTTTTCTTTGGTATATTTGCCATAGAAGTAGTGATATTTGATTTAATTTTTTGGTATTGTTCTCCCCCAATCATGGATAGAGTCCTTATTACTGCCTGGCAGAGAACCAGGGGCCCTCAGTGTCAGGGTCCCCCTTGTCTTCACCTGCAAAATATCACTTAAATGAACGCCAAAGCTACCAGAAAGAAACTCAAAAAGACCACAAAGAGATGCAAAGGAACTGCAGAGACACAAATGTGCCAAAAATTGACACAAAATAACCACTAAAGTGGGAAAACAGCCATTAAGAGAAACAAAAAGACCACAAAGAGATGCAAAAGAACTACAAAGAGACGCAAAATGATCAAAAAGAAACAAAACACCCACAACAAGATACAAAATGACTATGAAGGAATGCAAAAGAACCACAAAAAGGGACAAAATGACTACAAAGAAACAAAAAAAACAACAGAAAATGACACAAAATTACTTCAGAGACAAACAATTGCCTCAGAGACAAAAAATGACCAAAAAAGACACAACATTACTGCGAAAAGAGGCAAAACTATCACAAAGAGTCACAAAACAATCAACAAAAGACACAAAATTACTACAAAAAGATGGGCAAAACAACAGCCTAGAGATACAAAATGACTTCAAAGAGTCACAAAACAACTAAGAAGAGATAACAATTGCCCCAGAGACACAAAAAGATCAAAAAAGACACAAAATTACCCCAAAAAAGATGCAAAACAACAAGGAGATGCAAAATGACTATACACAAAATTACAACAAATTGGTGGAAACACAACCACAAAGAGATACAAAATGACTACAAAGAAACACAAAACAACCAAAAAAGACAGAAAATGACCTCAAAGAGATAAACAATTGCCTCAGAGACACAATATAATCAAAAATGACACAAAATCACCACAAAAAGATGCAAAACGACTACAAAGAGCTATGAAATGACAACAAACAAACACAAAACACCCCAAAAAAGACAAAAAATAACTCCAAAGAGACAATCAATCGCCTCAGAGACAAAAAATGACCAAAAAAGACAAAATTACTACAAAAAGAGGCAAAACAACCACACATAAAACAACTAATAAAAGCCACAGAATTGCTACAAAGAGAAGGAAAAAAACAACCACGTAGACATACAAACTGACTTCAAAGAGTCACAAAACAACTAAGAGGAGGTAACAATTGCCTCAGAGACACAAAAAGGTGGAAAAAAAAATACCACAAAAAGATGCAAAACAACAACAAGGACATGCTAAATGACTACACACAAAGGTACTACAAAAAGGTAGCAAAACAACCACAAAGAGAAACACAATGACTACAAAGAAACACAAAACAATCAAAAAGGAACACAAAAAGAGACACAAAATTACCAATGCAAAATGACAACACACAAATTGAATCCAGTAAGGGTAGCAAAACAACCCTAAAGAGGTACAAAATGACTTAGAGTTAAAATTACTTTAAAAGAGGCAAAAACAACCCCAGAGAGAAACAAAACAACCAACACAAGACACAAAATTACACGAAAAAGAAGGGCAAAACAACCAAAAGGTGATACAAAATGACTTCAAAGAGATAAACAAGTGCCTCAGAGACACAAAATGACCAAAAGGACACCACAAAAAGATGCGAAGCAACCAATAAAGACACAAAATTACTACAAAAATGATAGCAAAACAACAACAAAAAGATGCAAAATGACAACAAAGAGCCACTTAACAACCACAAAATTGCCTCAGAGACACAAAATGATCAAAAATGACACAAAATTACCACAAGAAGATGCAAAGCATCAACAACAAAAAGAGGAGGTAAAAACCACCACAAAAGTCTATGCGTCTTGCTCCTATGTAGGAGAGGTGGTGAGGTCCTTTGCAAGTCATAATATGCCCAAAAGTACATGGTGTTGGTTTAAGTACGACTATAAGAACTACAAACCCTTTCTACCAACATAAAACTGCTCATCACATCTGATTACAGTTCACACAGTGTGAAGAAATAAAACAACAGATATGATTTCCTGATAGTCCTGATAGTTCTGTATCACTTAAACTTTTGTTTTGTTTTTTATTTCTGGGCGAGGTATCACTGACTTTGTCATTATGTTGATTTAAAGACTTTATGATGTGCACCGTATGTCTCATGGTTGTTGTCTTTGTTCAGTCCCTTATACATTTACATCCAAACATACACACATTTGTCTCTGTTCAATTTATTTAGTTTTATTGGCACACTCGTGGAGGATATATTGCCAAAGTATCTCTCTCTCCGTTTCTCTCAGCTCATAGTATTTCTCCCTCCAGCTGCTCCATCTTTTTTATTCTTGCTCTGCCTCTCCCTCACAGAAAGCAGGGACCCCGGCAGGCTGCTCCCATTCAGCCCGAGGACGCCGATGATGTTTTAATTGTCACTTCTTGTTAAGGCGGCCGTGACATTCACGCGGGGACAGAGGGGAGGCGGTCGGCGTAATCAGAGGAAATGGAGAGAAAGACAGAGAGGGGAAGAGAGGGAGAGAGATGGCACCCATTCAGCTACTAAGAGTGGTATTTGGCTCTGAGCTGTGTGCCTCCTTCCCTCTCTTCCCTTTCTCTCACCCCGCCGGGGCATGATCTGATTTGACAAGCACAACGCTGTCATCTTGAGTTT